GAGACGGTGAAAAGCAGAGAGAGAAAGGTGGCCAATTTCAGTCGCCCGCTCCAAACTCTACTTCTTTTCAGGATGGGGACGGACGGGTATTTTATACCGAGCAAGCGGGGCGGCCCACACGTCGCGTTTGATATCTGAATTATTACGGAGGCCAATCTACGGGCCGCCGGGCCGCCGCCGCGCCACGCCACGCCGCGGCTGCATGGTGCGGGTGGCGGAGCCGCCGGTATGTTGTGTGTGCAGCGCAGCTCGCCATGCGGCGCGCCAGACGCGAAAAAAAAATGATTAAAAAGTTGGTGAGCGCTAATCACCTCCGATACACCAGAGCAATGGGGACAAATTGGGCCTTGATGAGAGAACGGAGGGAACAGTCAGTCAGTCCCACGGTGCGCGCGCTTCGACTGGCTCCGCCGTCGCTGGCTGCCCGGGGTGGGGCGTGTCAGCAGGGCGGGGCGGGGCGGGGCGGGGGCCTCCGCATCACAGCTGCGCAGTGCGCGGTGCTGATGGCCTCTTTAACGAAAGGACGGTACCGTCAGCATCAATTAAAAGCCAACAGAGAGAGGACTAATCACGACGTGGAATGAGCAAGTGCTCAGGAGGGGCGTGGCGGGGCGTGGCGGGGCGGTTCTGTGCAGGGCGTGGCCGTGTGTGCGACACTCCCGCATGGAAAAGCGTTCCCCTGCTCATTTAAAAAAGACTGCTCCACCGGTAACAGCAGCAGCAGCAAGCAGCAGCAGAATGGCTGACGAGCGCGACGCGTCGCATACGTGGAATTTATAAATGAAGGGAAATCCGGTCTGTGTCGCCGCCTTGCTGCCGCGCGCGCCTTGGCCGTGTGTGCGTAATTGGGAAGCCGTTTTGGATCAACACAGATGCAGCCACGTCTCCAAATGCCAAGATGACACACGGCATTTCAAAAATTCGAACGAAAAAGTATGAGCCAATGGAACGTATAATACAAAGTTCTGCTACAATTCGTGAAAAGGGAAAATCTGGATTTATTTTATTTTGCAAGGTTGTTTTCTTGAACTTGACGCGAGTTCGCTGAGGCGAGAGTTCAGGGAGGGGTCACGGGGAGTCATTTTTGGGCCCGCGCCACGCCTCGCCACGCCACGCCGCTGACGCTCGGTCAACAAATTGGACTCCTCCATGAATCGACCGATAAATTACCGAGTTAATCTTCCATTAGCATCGGGACGCGGTTACAAAGAGGCGGGCATTAGAGATCGCCGTGCGGCGGCTGGCGGCGCGGAGAGCCCGG